ACGAGCTCGAGGGAGAAGGATGCGCCGCCGATCAAGCTCTGTGGGGGAGATGAAGAGGAGAGGGCACCCTGCGCCAGCTTGGGGGAGAGGGAAGAGGTGAGGGAGCAGGGGTGGGCGTCGGGTGGGTGCTACCATGGGGGAGAGGGAGAGGGAGAGGAAGGGGCGAGTGAGGGCTGAGGTGGTTGTCGGGTGCCGCCGTGGGAAGGGGCGACTGAAGGGTCGGGGTGGAGCTGTGAGAGAGACAGAGTGAATGAAACCCTAGGTCTATGTATATATACGATGAGTGTGATATCGGGTCGAGATTGGTCGCCTGGGCTAGAAACTGGGCCTGTATTTTAGGAGGCGGGACTTATAGTGTGCCCGTCTGCAAAAATAGATTTATGAAGGTGGGCACCTTAAGATGACCGCATCTAAAAATAGGCCATTTTTTGAGGCGGTTGTCCTAAGGTGCTCGCCTCCATAAATCGATTTTTGGAGGCGGGCATTTCCTGACCGCCTCCTTAAATATAAAGGACCGCCTCCGTTAATCGCCTGGTATTTTATGAGGCGGTTGAATTTATGACCGCCTCGGTTAATAAAAGGACGCTGTCTCACAAAATCATTTGTGTAGTTGTGGATGTCATTAGGACCATTAGACCTGAAAAGGTTCTTAAAATACTCCCTCGGTCCATTAATCGTATCAGCAAAATAAAAATTTCCAAGAGTCGGCGTCGTTTAAGGTAGAGACCATGGTTTCACCTTGTCCACAGGCGCCGCGGCTCCTCGTACGCAATGCGGCGCCGTTCTCCCGTTGCTTCAAATACCTCTCCGTCCCCTCCCGTTAACAGTCCATCCAAAGCCCTTTGGCAGTACGCCGGCGCCTCCGTGAAAGTCCAGCTAGCAAGCGCAGCTCACCATCGCACCCTACCACTTAGCAGAGTCGCTCCATGCCGCCACGGCCCGCGCGCCAGGACGACGACGATGAGGTGCAGTACATGCACTCCTTCTCGTCCTCCATCTACAACACAAAATAAAAGAAAAGAATGGGATGTCTGAATCATTCCTAGAAGGATGAGCTCTCTGAAACACAGAAAACTGAAAATCACCATGTGGATATCCCTCTCCTTGCAAGGCATCTGCTGCAGCAGCATCTACATCTCCGTCTGCTGCCTGGTCTTGAATAAAAAAAAACAACGAAAAAAAGGAACAATCAGATCATAGAAAGAAGAAAGGCTTGAACAAAAATCTGACTGAAAATAGCACCTTGGATTCCATCATGAGCATTGTTTTTTATGTCCAGAAGGAGAAAGAGGGGTGAGGGTGGGGAGAGCTTACTGGAATTGCCTGGACGAACTGATCCTCCAAGGCAACTGATATAGGCCATGTCAACTTGAAAATGAAACCGGCAATAGAAGGAAGGTGATGGCGGGCAACGAAAATTTGATGCACTGCTGCTTCTTTTGGTATGGGCGGCAATAGAAAGAAGGTGATGCACTGGTGAGTAATTTTTTATCTGTGGCGGTCGAATTTTGGTATGGGCGGCAATAGATGGAAAGTGATCGTGGCACGAAAAAGAAGATGCATGGGCGCGTGATCAGCGTCGTGAATTTTCTTTGTGTGGGCTGCGCGGGGCTTCCTTCTTAAGCGCATGATTAAGGGCGGGCTAACGGCGTTTTCAGCAGCGTGAGAACGCGGTTATTTGAGAAGTGAAACGGACGCCAAATCATTAATAGCAGCACGACGATTAATTGCAATTCGACGTTCCTTTGCTGCTCCTTGGTCATTGCGCCAGAGGCTAAAACAACTCTGATTAATGGACGCAGGGAGTAATTATTGATAAATCCCTGCTTCTCTACTTCGCTCTCCACCCAGCCCCCATCATCCTTCTTTAATCTTCCCATTCGATTTATCTTCCTTCTCTACTTGCAGCATTGGTGGAAAAAAGAGGTGTTCCTATCTCCCTTCACTAACCAGTTAACATGAGCCCTTTGCTTCCAAAATATATCAATTTGCTCCTCTAAATCTATCCACCTTGAATCTCAAAATCGCCTCCCTATCTATTGTCTTCGGAGAAAGACTCCTTCTATATCTCTCCAGCTCTCCCTTCGCTTTTTTCAACCTCTTCTGTAAGTCCCCCAAGACATTGGAGCTCCAGTCCTGCAAGGAGGCCGCAAACCCTTTCACAGCATCCACCATACACACCCCATCTGCTGAACCATCATTCCCACACGCATCGTGCACCATATCTATGCAACGTGCTTCCTCCAACCACACATCTTCGAACTTGAAAGGCCTCGGTGCTAAACCTTCCCTCCGGTCACTAACTGTGTCCGTTGTGATTATGACAAGCCGATGATCCGAATGGTGAGGGTCCTCATTATGAATGGTAACGCAGGGAAACCTTGCTCTCCAGCTGCCATTTGCAATGGCTCTATTGAGCCTCTCCTTTATGTAGTTCTCACACGTATGGTGGTGGTTCCCCCAAGTCAAAATGTCCCCAGTGAAACCCAAGTCCGATAATTGACACTCCTCCAAGGCTTCCTTGAAATTGTCGAGGCAAGTTTGAGAGCGAGGAACTTCACCCTCCTTCTCATGATGATAAAGAATCTTGTTAGAATCCCCTGTGCATAACCTTGGCATAGATCAAAGCGCGTGAAGGTCACATAGTAATTTCCAAGTACAGTGCTTCAGTTCCATTTTTGGTTCACCCTAAATGCCTGTAAACCTCCAAGAAAAGCCATCATCCGCCACCACATCGATATTAATTGAATAATTTCTCAAAATCATATTAACCCCTTTCCTCCACAACATAGCAATCCCCCCCCCCTTCCATCCCCTTTCACTACCACCATGTTTGACAGTCCCAACGAGAATCTAATTCTCTCCATCTTCCGATCATTCAAACTTGTTAACATTGCAGAAGCCCACACACTAACGGGGTATTGCCGAGACCCCGATAGTTCCAATCCCTTAGCTTCATTGGGCCCCGCGGAACTGGTCCTCCAGTCCCGCTTCAGAAGAGGATTGTGCATTTTTGGATGCCTCCGATTTATACTTCTTTGCTTGATACAAATAATCTACCTCCATGCCCGCCAACTCCACAAGGCCTCTCTTCCTCCCACTCGTTGCAGCACGCCCATCACCAAGCACTGCATTAGTGTGTGACCTGGGCACACGTTTGAAGGTCCTAAGACCAGAGCCTTTTCTCGCCTTCTTTTTCTCCCCTTCTCCTTCGACCTGTTTGTCCCTCTAGTTGACGTGCATGGCACTATTTGTGGTGATGTCCCCGCATAGAGCCATCTGTCCATTGCTACCATTCGGTTTTCTGTCTCCATGCTTCCATCAGAGATAGCTATCTCTACCTTCTTTAGGGTACTCAACGCCTTGATTATCACCGAAAGTTAAGGCTTTCTTCACCACCCCAAAATTCTTCTCTATAGGAACATTCTTCATAGGACTAGTGACTTCCTGCTCCTCCCCCGAGTCGTACCCTTCCCATGATCATCTTCTCCATTCTTCCTCCATGAAGGTCTGCCGATGTCACGTCTACCACAACTCCCCAACTTACTCGAGCTGCCTCCACTCCCCCTGCTCCCTACATTCTAGCTCCATGGTAGCCCTGGCCTCACGATTCCAAACCTCCCACCAAAATCCTCGTTGGATCTCTTCTTCTCTGGAATGAATCGCAATTTATGGCCAAAGCATGGTCCAGTGGGCTTTGTGCCTAGCCGATGGCCTAGGCATGGCCTGCCGGGCGACTTTCCATGCCAAGCCAGGCCGGAACGAGGCACACCAAATGCCTGTAGTGGAGAGAACAGAGAGAAGGGCATGGCGAGGCGTGGAGGTGGCAGCGGGCATCGACGAGCTCGCCCTCGGGGCGCTTGATTCTGGATCCGACGAAGTAGCTGGCAGAGGAGGGGAGCTTGCGGATCCAACGAACTAACTGGCGAGAAGGGGAAGGCGGCGGGACAGAGCAGGGCCGATGTGCTCTCCTTCAGCTTGGTGGAGGCCAGATTCGTGACGGTCCAGGTCGGATCCGCAGCGGTCCAACCGGATACGTGGAGGATGCGGAGGAGAGGGATAGGGAGGAGGCGGCCGCCGCCGCTCGAGGCCGGCGCTCTCGAAGCCTCGTTAGGGTGGAGGAGCTAGCGGCCGCAGACCAGTGGTGCGGGGGTGAGGTCTACTGATTCTAGCTCGGGGAAGACGCGAGTGGCTCTCAGGCGCCTCTTCGCGCAGGGAACGGTCATGGAGGAGGCCATCGGACGCGCGAGGGCGTGGAGGAGTCGGCCGGCCACAATGGGGGCATGGAGGTGGCGATTGTTGTCGCTCGATGCGTCGATGTGGAGTTGTGGAAGCGGTGTCGGGCACCCGAGCCTCCAGCTCTAGGCTAGTGGCTGCCAGCTGAGGCGAGGCCATGCGACGCTGGGTAGGGGTGGTTAGGGCTGGGGATGGGGGATGCTGGAGGGAGGGGGTTTGCATCCCCCATTCGCCCACTCTGAGGCAGGCTGGGCGGCTCCTGGGCCTTCCTCCGTTTTGCGGGCTGGGCCAGGCCGCTCGCTGGGTTGGAGGAGCGGCCCAGGCACGGCCTGGTCCTCTGGGCCGGGCTGGCCTAGGCATGTTGACCACCGGGCCGGGACGAGCTTGGGTCAGGGTAAAAAAACAGGACTCGTGCCGGGCCACCAGGCTGCATGCACATGTATATCCCCATCGGAGCCCTTTCGCTGAGATTAGTGATTACGTGTCACGGTCTCACGGTCGACGTCCGACCTTCTCACACTTTCTACGCCTTAGTTATTACCGGTGTAACACATTAGCGACACCATCAAATCCAAAAGAATCGTTTTTTACAGCGCACTTGTGGTATTATGGGCTATCGAGTGTACCGGAAGAGTATCGTACTTCTCTATGTAAGAAAAGGATTCGTATCGCGCAGTGCGATATCCCTGCCGCTTATTTAAACCACTCAATGCTCATAGCTGAAGCAACAATAAGCCAGCCAAAAGCAGGGACACACAGAAATAATGGCGAGCACCAAGCTTGCGTTCCTGGCCGTCGCCGTCCTGCTTCTGCAGGCGTCGTGGTGCGCCGTGGCCCAGCAGGCCGGCACCGCCGCGGTGATGACGCTGACCAGCTTCGAGGGGGGCGGCCCCGCGGCGTGCGATGGCAAGTACTACAGCGACGGGGACCTGATCGCGGCACTGTCCACGGTGTGGTTCGCGGGCGGGAGCATGTGCCACAGGCGGATCCGCATCACGAACTCTTTGCCGAACGGGCTCAACCTGGTGGCCGAGGTCGTGGACGAGTGCGACACCCAGAGCGGCTGCAAGGACAACATGATCGCCACGTCCAAACGGGTCTGGGACGCGCTCGGGCTCGACACCAACATCGGCGAGGTTCCCGTTACCTGGTCCATCGCCTAATAATCGAATGCATCGCCGTCGTCGGCCGGCAAAGCCGGGCAAGGATCTGTGTGCCACGCGTGCCCCGGGAATTTGCGTGCCACGGTTGTTGTCGTTGATGTGTGTCGGTAGCCACTCTCGAGGCAGGCTTCCTAGAATCCTAGAGTGGCAGAATAAAACTACTTGCAACTACTTGCAAGCGGTACTTTGCAACTTCATCCTGCTGTTGCTGTCAGTAGTCCAAGATTGAAAACGTTGGTTTGTTTCGTCAGTGGTGTGTTCGTCACGCTCACGCATGTCTGATGGGTAGTCAAATATGGCGATCAGAATTGATTGTGCTCATTTGAGAATCTGAGATCTGTTTACGATGCCAACCATTGAGTTGCCGACAGTGAAAATGGCCGATATTCAAGAACGAGACGGGCCGTGGTGAGCTCCGGCCCCAGTTGTTGTTGACTCAGTTAGTCGACAGTAGAGACAAACACTTCCACTCCGATCCACATGAGATATACTATGGAGTACTCAATGTATTTCATATGAACTAAATTCACATTTGCCGCCATTTAAATTGAACGTCCACACTCACATATTTTCTTACCTCGAGGGTACCATTTATAGGTTGTCATAGTTGACACGGGATAACCTAGCTTCATTCTGTCCGATCCGTAAACTAGACTAATCGACGAGTATGGCAAACTCTAATATTGTGCTATCCTGACCACTTGTCTTCTTTCCCTGCTTGTCATGTTAGCAGTTGTAATAAAGTGCCGTGAGCCTCTAGGAGTGGGTAAACTATATGTCTAATTTAAATTAAATTCTAGGTCTCGAATTAAACTACCATTAGAAAAATCATAAACTACTCCAACAAGATATGCATTTAAGTTTTTTTCTACTGTGCTCTAAAAAGGTTTAGTAAACTAGAGGCAATCCTATCAGCTAGTCTATATCTCATATAGAAAGGTAAATGCCAAAAAAGCAAAGCACAAGCGAAAACCAATAAATCGTAGTAAGTAATAAAGAATTAAAGTTATAGAGGGTAAATTCTCTAGGACGCGACGATATATATCCTGTGGTATTGATTGTCAAACCGTGACCCGCAATCTACATTGATCTCAACCGAGGTATGCTCCCGGTCATAGTGTTGGATTTGTCACACAAGGCATCTGCTAACCAAAGGCTAGCACTGTGAGTCACGAAGTCTCACCACTGTTACCCGGCTGCCGGCTCTTCCAGTCATATATATCTTGATGTCGTGTACACTACAAAGCTTTTCCACACGAGGGATGACTCTTCTCATCCCCGCACATCAATACGAGGTCGCTCCACACCGAGAACGGAGGGTCGTTGGCTAGAAGGCCACCACACCTTCACTAGAAGGTTATAAAGACCTCAAGTGCTCTGGCTCACCAATATAAACGACACAATAGCCCAATCTCTCAAAGCTCTCAAGCTCAAGGTCTAAACCTCACAAGGATACAAATGTCTATTCTAGCGTTGGATGTGATATTGAATGACTTGAGATGGTGGGATGGAGTGTATGTAGAAACACATGCTCTAGTTTGTCTTAGCCTTGAAGCACTCACTATGTAAAAAAGTACATTACAGACGCGCGTTCAGGCACATCACAGACGCGCCTGCCATAACATGTCTGTAATAAGGTCTTATTACAGACGATAAGCACATACTACATACGCGTGTTACCAACACGCGACTGTGACAAAATGAACACGCGTATGTGATAAGACCTTAACAAAGACTGGTGGGTGTCTACACGCGTCTGCGGTAAGCCCTTACTCGAGACGCGTGTTGCCAAGACGCGTCCGTAACAAGATTAAGACACGTATGTGTGAAAAACCATGGACGCGTCTATAGTAAGGATCCTACTATAGACGATATTTGTAAACGCGTCTGTAGTCAGAACCATAGTATAGACGCGTAGTAAGGATGCTACTACAGATGATATTTTTAAACGTGTCTGTAGTAAATAGCATACTACATCCTCGTGTTCTTAACACGCGTCTGTAGTAAATAGCACGCTACAGATGTTTGTATTCTACATGCATTTTTAGTATTTTTCTTATCACAGACGGGTCTAGGTTACAGACGCGTATGTAGTATTACTATAGACGCATCTGTAGTCTAGACCCATCTGTAGCCCACAACACAACCCACACATCACAGATATACAAAGATCACACAGATATATATACACAGATCTGACAGACAGACACACACACACACACATATATATACACACACAGACATATATATATGCATAGATCACAGCTATTCATCTCAAAACTTAATTTGTTCATCACTCAGTGAACATATTGTTCATCACACACAGCTTACAGATTGTTCATCACCAGGTAATTCACATGTATCTCCAATTGTATCTCATAGCTCCAAACTCATGAGCACAGCAGCAGCTGGCTAGGACAGATGGAATGAACATATATACGAGGCACTTCATCATGGTGTATGTGTACAATGAAACTTGCCTTTTTTGTCGATAATCTGTGACACAATAAACAAGGCGATCTTCTCTCTAACGTAGTCCATGTTGATTGGAGTGGACATTACTTCAAATTCATAAGACAAAAAAAAGGTAGTCATAAGATGAAGTTGCACATGTGTATAACCATCATCAATAAAATGAAGCTGCACAGCAAGAGATCACAATATATATATGACAGCTGCAGTACCAAAAATTACCTGAGACTTATCCAAATTGGCCTGTCCCATCGCCAGCAACAAGTTGTGGGCCGCAAAGAACCCACTTGTGTGGTCCAGACCTTGCTGCTGGCACTGCGAACATATGGAACATATGAAATACATGGTTAATAATTGAATTGAAACACTACTTCAGAACTGGAAGTGAAGCACTACTTACTAGAATTTTGGCTGCATGGATGAAGGCTCTAGTTTGGTTTTGGTGAATTGATGAAACCCTAAGTGCTAACCTAGTTTATCAAAGTGATCATGAGATATGTAGCACTATTCCAAGTGGTGGAGTAATGGTGAAGATCATGATGATGGTGTGGTGACCATGATGATCAAGTGCCCGGCTTGGAAAAGAAGAAAGAGAAAAACAAAAAGCTCAAGGAAAAGGTAAAACTTGATAGGAGCTTTTTGGTTTGGTGATCGAGACATTTAGTGAATGTGATCACATTTAGGATCGATAGCCGTAGCATTAAGAGAGGTGAAACTCATCATGAAATGCGGTTATCAAAGTGCCACTAGATGCTCTAACTCATTGCATATGTATTTAGATCTAGTGGAGTGCAACACCCTTGAAAATGTTTATAAAAATATGCTAACACATGTAGAAGGTGAAACACTTGGTGGTTGGCACATTTGATCAAGGGTGGCAAAGTTGGTGAAGTGGAGGAGTCTTTCACTGACCGGACACTGATTTCGGTGTGACCGGACTCGGCGTTGGGTGCGTCCGGTCATTTATAGCAAAGCGGACGCGCTCGGGTTCTGTTGGTTCGTGACCGGACTCAGCACAGTGAAAGTGACCGGACATGCAGGGCCTGCGTCCGGTCAGGGGATGATGTACGCTAACATGTGCTTCTTCACGGGCTAGAGAGGACCGGACTCAGAGCGGCGTTCGATGGCTTATGAATGGCCGTGTTCGATCGTCGTTTTTCTTCTCTAGATGATTACTGGAAATGACCTGACGCTAGGTCTCCATAGGGAGCAGCGTGTCCAGTCTCAGTGTGGCAGTGGTGTGCTCGCGTGGGCTGTCTTGGCACCGGCGTGTCTGATCTTTAGGACGACGTGACCGATCATAACTTAACCGTGTGGGCGTCTGAGTTGACCATTGGGATCTTGCGGTGGACGTTGAATGCGAGGGACACGTGGATGACTGGCAGCGACCAGACGCTGGGGCTATGTGTCCGGTCAGCACGACTAGCGCATCTGGTCGTCCCGAGTTGCGCTGCTCTGTGAGCCAACGACTCTATTCGTGAGGCTCTCTATTTAAGCCCCGTTGCCGGCTCAAGCTCACTCTCTTGGCGATTTGCATTGACATAGCAACCTTGTGAGCTTAGCCAAAGCCCTCCCACTTATCTCCATCATTGATTCATCATCTTTGTAAGATTGAGAGTGAATCCAAGTGCATTGCTTGAGTGATTGCATCTAGAGGCACTTGGTGTTCGTGTTTCACTGTAGGATTCGCTTGTTACTCTTGGTGGTTGCCGCCACCTAGACAGCTTGGTGCAACGAGGATCGTCGAGCAGAGGAAGGTGCTTGTATCTGGCTTCGATCGTGGTGATTGTGAGGGGTTCTTGACCTTTTCCCGGTGGAGAGTCAAAAGGTACTCTAGTGGATTGCTCGTGGCTTGTGTGGTTCTCATCTTGTGTTGATTGTGCGGCATCCGATTGCGGGTTTGGCGTGTGATGTCAATTAGCGTGTGAACCTTCAAGTGAGTGAATCACCACAACGAGGACTAGCTTGCCAGCAAGCAAGTGAACCTAGGTAAAAATTTTTGTGTCATCGTTGTCCGAGGATTTCATTGGTTATCTTGTGATTGATTGTGATCATCTTGTGATTGGCTTTACTCCTCGACACATCGGTATAATCATCACCGCCATCTCTTCTATTACATTCTTAGTGTTGCTACGCTTTTTAGTGTAATTGGTTTGTAGTGCTAGCTTGTGTCGGGTCTAGTGGTTAGTGAGGCTCTTTAGTTAGTTTTTAAGAGCTCACTAACTTAGTATAGTGACTTAGCTAATTGTGTGCATAGAGATCATAGTCGCTAGAGTTGTGGTAGGTGGCTTTTATTTTTAGTAGGCTAGCGCAATACTCGCTTCGCCTTTTAATTGTCTAACATCTTTGCTAAGTGTTGTTGTAGAAATTTTAAATAGGCTATTCACCCCCTCTAGCCATTAGAGCCTTTCAATGGCTCAACTTTAATTTTTTCTGCCCTTTCTTCGGCCTGGGTTGGCAATTGGCAAAAACCCTACACATACATGAGTTGTTATCAAATTATTTTGACTTCCAATAACATAATTAAG